GGAGCTTTTACCGGTTCGGGAAATCCTCGGGAGGGGGTGGGATGCCCCCGGCTGCGGGAGCTCGCCCTTTACCGTAAACCGGGAGGGTTGGCCTGGCTTCTGGGGAGCGTTCTGGCCGGGGAATATTCGAGCAGTATTCTGAACATCGGCCTGTGGAGAGGCAGAGCTGGGAGGCGTCACATAAATTAGCCCTTCTAGACTTTGTCCTTTATGGGGGGAAAAAAAATAAAAAAAGCCCTTTTGTCTGCCGAACTTCCCCCTCCCCCCCCCCGTTTCCATAATAACGCTTGGCTAACGACCAAGTTAAACAAGGGAAAAAAAGACTAAATGTGCTTAAAATTTGCTATGTCATGCATGTTCTGCTGACCCCGATGTCTGGTGGCTTACAGAGAGAAACAAAAGCTTGTACCACAAAGAAATAAGCTTGCTGTTACAATTGGGACCATTTGGCTTTTGTTTTCTCTTTTTCCTAAAAATTAATCTCCTAAGCAGCCGACGGCACCAAATCACAGAAGAAACTTGTGAACGATGTTTAAGCATATTAAGGCTGGTGTTATGCTGACTTTCTTTTGCATCTGGCAGAGGATTGACTTATTTTTTGGTCAGGAATCCTGACGTGAAGTGGCCGCATGGACGCTTGCTGGTACCTGGGGTGTTCCCTGCAGCCGTGTTCTGTAGCAAAGGGATGAAAATTTAATGTTTAGGAAGTTCTGGTGGAGAGAGTGCATGAATCGTCTTTTTGAATGGCTTTAACGGACTGCCTCATTCACGTTGTCTCAATTTAAGGTTCCTCCCTGACTTCAGAGATGAGCAGATCCTCTTAAAACTCCATCTGAAGTAGCTGAAGCGACTCTTGGAATCGGTCATCTGGAAATTGATATTCTGTCTGTTCCGCGGGGCCTGGGGCTGAAAACCTTTAGGCTAGCTTAAAAAAAAAAAAGCGACGCTCTGATCCCAAAGCATGCACACATCTGCCTCTTTTGTTCTCTGTCCTCCAAAGCTTTTGTTTTGCTTCTTAATATTAAGAGTTCGGATGCCGGCAGCCTAGAAAGGAGGTTTTGAAGTGTTCTTTAAAGACTTCCTGGTTTTGGGAGAGAGGGAAGGATTCATTTTCTAACAGTTCGACCGACTGTATGGGATTAGTGTAGGATCAAGTGATTCCCCCTGTGCAGGAGGAAGGAAGTATCCCATATTCTCTGTTTCTCAAATCCTGGCTGGAATTCTCTTCCCACCGACCTGCCCTTCGGTGGCAGCCAGCCGTTAGGTTGATTGGAGTCCTGCCATTTACTTTCACCTTAAATAAAAAGGGAATGAGAAAACCGAACCTTTTTGGACCCTGTGTTATATTACAGTGAGGCCTGGGCTAATACCTGCAGCTCACTGCTGAAACCATTTTTTTTGTGGTTTAAGCCAAACCTTTTCATTTTCTGAATGTGTTTTTCTGAGTTCTGGCTGTAGGAATGACAAATTAATGCCAACTCAACTCCTTTTTTTTGTCAAAACGTCAAGAACGTTTCCCTTGTTGAGGACTTCATAACATTGCAACGTACAGCATTTTTTAAACTTTTAACAGTTAATCTATCATTAAAGAATCTTCTATGTTTGAGTATCGATTACAATCTTTATTCATTATTTAAGACTGTTTTCTTGGCTCATGGCATACAAATGCTGTCATCCTAAGTTGTTGTTGTTTTTTTTTCCCCTCACCAGCTTTGTCACCGAAGAAGAGGAAGCCATGGTGTGCATTCCTTGTATTGTCATTCCCATTCTCCTCTGGGTCTACAAGAAATTCCTTGAACCGTATATCTATCCCGTTATCACACCTTTCATTAGGCGCGTATGGCCCAAGAAAGCCGTGGGAGAAACAATAGCCACAGAACCAGGTCAAGGAGGCAGCGCTGGAAATCCACGGGCACCTTCAGCCACGAAAAGACACCAGGAGGATGAGCCTGGAATTTATAAAGTAAGATTAATGCACTTAGCTAACGAGGGAAACTCCAGGTGAAACACCCAGCGATAGTTCAGGGCGGGCACCACAAAAGAATAAATAATTGGGTGTTTTTAATAGATTTTTTTTTTTTTTTTTTTTTGCTATTTTCTTGTGAAAGGGAAGTGGCCAGTACTAAGCCAGCTTAAAACAGCAGTTTCTCCCAGGAAGGTCTTCGAAGGACAGGAATTGCACCTGTTTTCTGAAACAGCTTCTTTAATTTTATTTTTTTTAATGACTTTCTTCTTTCAGAGAATTAATTTCCAATTCTTTCAGAGAAGGAAGAAGCCAAATAATTGATACATCGCACCAGAAGCATGAAGCAGAATTAAAAAAACCAAACCCACAAAACCCACTCTTCAGCTGGCTCTGCTGCTCATGATGGGGGGAAGTGTTTAATGTGTGTAAATTGTGCACTTGTTATTTATCTCTTCTAAGAAAATCCAGAGATTTGTGTATGTGGTCTTTGCCCTCACTCCTCCCCCTGCCCCCTTGAAGCAAAAATCAGATGTAGATCTAAAGCGACACTGTCACTTTGGTTCTTGCTGCAGATTTCTTCGCAGATCTCTGCTGTCCTTGCTTCTAAAAGTAATTTTCATCACCAGCTGTTACTGTTCTGGGTGCAGAGTCCTCTTTTGACATCCCATTAATGATGCTGTCTTCTGTTCGCAGTTTGAAAGCAACGGCGTTGCAAATGGAGTCGCTGCAAAGAGATCCGCGGAAGTTTCTGACAAGAAAACGGACTAAAGGAGTTCATTCCTGAGGATTTTATTCCCTTGTGTCCAATATGAACTGGTGGTATTTCTCTCACTTTGAGACTTTTTTTCTTTGCACATTTTAGCTGAATAAAAACCCTTATTGCTGACAGGAGAGGGTCTCTATTGCCACTAAAATGGCAGCTAGCACATTTCATAATTTAAAACGTTTGAAAACTAAGTTCTTTATTTTCCTCACTGGAACTGCTTTTCATCTATCATCTATTTGGTGTGATTAGAATTCAGGTTCAATAACTTATGAATAAATCTAGCTTTGGAAGGTAAATGCATCTTAGCATCTTCCTTTCACTAACTGCTAGTGCAATACTTCAGGCTTTCACCTTAAAAGCTGTAGCTATTCTTCACCTTGCTAAAGAACTAATGAATTGCATTGTGGCAATGTAAGTGTCATGGTTAAATTAGGAAGAATTTAGATTTCTCACGTCAAATCTGTGGATGAGCTAATGGAGTTACGCTATATGCAAAATCTACTTAGCTTACTCAAAGCATGGAGTCTTGATTTGATACTTCTATGAATTGTTTTCCTTGAAACATTGTGCCTTTCTTTTCCTGAAGAGGAGCAGCAGGGGCATGATGCAAGAAGAATTGTTGCTTTATATTCTGTTGCAGTGGTTTAAAATGGTGCAGTTCTGTCTTTTAAAAAAACAAACAACAAACAATTAAGATCTCTTTAACATGCTTGTGAATTATAATAAACCAGAACTTTATTTAAAAACCAGTTGCTTCACACAATTGTTCTTAGGCTTCTGAGCTATAAATATTTAGAGCGGTAATAAAATCTTTGAAAGCCTGTAGATGGTTTTTAGATCCAGGCAGGAGGAGGTCGTAAAGCTGGTGACTTTGTGATAAAGAAAGTGAACTCGGCAAGTCCAGCATTCTGGGGAGGTGCTCTCTGCTACTGACCTGCGTCCCAACGCGATAGTGCCACTGTGAAGCCTTTAGCTGTCCTTGCGATTAGTAGGGAATAGAAGTGATAATTCCTGCTTTGTCCTCTCTGCCAAACCAGAGAGCGCTTGGAAAAAAAACCAAACAATCAAACTAAAGCCATTCCAGCAGTTTTGGATTGCTATTTAGGATGTACTGTTTTTCCAAAAGGCATATCTTTTTATGTATGCAGTCCTTGAACCGTCACTGAGGTCCAGTCTCGTTCTTGCGGCCGTGTTTTCTCCTCGCGGATAATTAACTGTTCTAAAGACTTGCGTGATGTCCACCAAATGCCTCTGGTCAGGTTTATTTTTCCCCACCGCTGCCCGGTTTTGTTGGGTCTTGCGTGAATTGATCTGCACTGTTCATGGTTGGGTATCGGGCCCTTGCTGCTACAACCGTTACTTCCTTAATGAGTCGAATCACAGAAAACTCCTTGTAAAACATTGCCTAGTGCTGTTTGCTCTCCCTTAATGAGCTAGTCTATTAGGAAGTGAGTTTGGTATTACTGTTTAATCAGCTTTTGCATCATCCCTGGAAGATGATTCCCCATCTGATCGGTGTATCACAGCTATAGCTTTCTCCTAGACTGGTGAAGCACCTACCATTTGTGATATTAAAACCTGGGCTTATTATTCTGAGCATGCACACATGGTATAATTCATACAATAAAAGATAACAATACTAACTGTGCACTCCTGTAACTCACAGATGTTGTCGTGTGGATCGTGTAGTAGAGAAGACAGGGATTGGAAAGTGGAAGCAAGGGGAGGAGGCAGTGCTGGTTTCTGATTGGTTTTGTCCTCTGTATCTTTGGATATTTCACCCATATTGTAGTGGATCACACCCTGTCCATCAGAACTTCACCCAGTAAAAGGTGGATGTAATCTTTGCTGGGGTGTATTGGGTTTTCTAAACGATTCAACCCTCGCCTCGCCCCGAACAATAAATTCCTCTGCTACCGTGACCGTCAAAAGTTCATGCTCTAAATCTGAAAGCTGGGAACTTCTAAGGGTCTGAAATCACCTTGCAATGAGAAGGGAGCGCTGTGTGCCAGCACCTTGTTTAAACACCAGGCCAGCTGAAAAGACTGCAAAAAGCCAAACGGGCAGATAGCGTGAGTATCTGTTCTTGGTTGTAGAATTACCCCGTTTGTGCTTTCTGGAATGGTGTTTCAGTACTTTTATTAGCTTCAGTTAAACACGAACATGACTGATCTTTATCGCAAAATGTTCCTGAATGAGGCACCTCACTGGAAGTCCTGGCGGGAGATTTGTGTCACAAAATTTTCCAAGAATAGGTCAGCAATCCTACTGTATCATGAGTAGTTAAGCAAAAAAAGTCCAAAAATGGGAAGGAAATGAACTGTCTGAGCCTGGACAGGGGTGCAGGAGAGCATCAGCTGCGGTGCAAAGAAGTGCACAAAGCCTTGTTTAAGAAAAATAAGTAGACAGAAATTAAAGAAATCCTGACGTGAGAGAACAATATAGACCAAGAAAATTTAACTGAGAAAATTTCCATATGTTTGGTACTCACTAAAAGCAAGATTTACAAAAGGCCTTGGGCACCTAATGATGGCAGGTGGACATCTACCAGAATTTACCAGAGCAAGTAGCAGCTTCATTTATACTGAGGAGTTTTAGAAAATTGCGGAGTAGGCATCTTTAGGGACCAAAGTACTTCTGCAAATCTAGTCCTAAGATCTTCAGCATTAAAGCTGTCAGGGTTTATTTAAATATTACTGAGGAAGAATCAAGAAATCAACCAATATTTGAAAAATATTTGAAAAAATACTCAACTACTTTAAAATAATTTTTCTTTACGGGAAGGTCTAAATGTGACATGGTACCTTCCCATGTACTGGTTTGCATAGGTAGCTGGGTGCCAAGGAGTTAAACTTAATTGAAACACACATTTTAAACACTGCAAGTACGTGCAAAAAAAATCTTAAATGAAAGTTCAGAAGGTTTTATGTTGCCAACTATTTTGACAGGCCTGATTCTGCAAGCAAAGGAAATTCTGACAGGTTAAATGGAACATGATCAGCCTCTAAGGATGCCTAAACTAGCAATGAATTCTCTCCAAAATGATCTTTATTCGGATGTGTTCATAGAACACAGTTAAATTCTATCCAGAAAGCTGATCTAATGACAGTAATTATGTTGTTATTACCCAAATACAGCGATCGCGCTCCAGCCTTCTGGGAGTTGTTGGGCATGCCGCTGGTGTTCAGTCCTTGGAGTCATTCCTTCTTCATTTCTGTACAATGCAGATCGTTATTGCTGGAAGAGTCTTCTCAGAGGCTGCAGGTGAAGGAAATGAAGAGGAATTTAATTTACACTTAGCTTAACTAAATCTGCCTTCAGTGAGAACTAAGTCTGTTTTATTAAACTGCCTAATACCTGAAAGAAGGGATTATCTTCCTTGTGCAGTTACTCTGATTGTTAGAATATGCTCCATGAACCAAATCATACTTTGGACTGCCATTATTTTTGCTTTTCAGTGAACCTGACTGCAGCAGTTAAACTGAAATGGCCTAGAAGACCATGTTTGCCACAGTGATTCTCTTGCTTGAGAAACGTTTTTAGATCATAGTCCCGTGTCTTTCTTTCATTGTTGCACTTGAACTGTGAATATCTGAAAGTTGTGAATAGGTGTATTTATACTTAGATAGATGCAGCAATACTTGTATTTTGCTCGAGGATTTTTTTCAATTTGTTTTTTGTGTGTACAGCTCTACTTCTTTTACAGCCACTTTACCTGTTGACCGTGAACCATTTTTATCACTGCAGTGGTCCGATCAAACACCGTGTGAATGTGAGGCCCATCCCTATGCCAAAAGCTTTGCTTTTATGTCTCAACGTATATGAAGTGGTTAGATCTCACCTTTGCACTTGTGCTGTTTGCATGTGTCCTGTTTCCTCACGCAGCCCATTTACTGGTACGCGTACGAGACGGGCTGCATATTTAGTGTCACACACCGTGGTAATGAGGTTATGCTCAAGATTAATTATCTTGGGAAGGGTTTTCCTTTTGAAGGAAGCATTGGGTGCTTACAGAAACAGCTACCGATGGCACAGAAACTGCCTCAGATATGGAGACGGGAGGTTACCTGAGGGAGAAACAATGAATTAAAGCAGCATAAGGGCAGGACCATGCCTGGTGAACGTTCCCTCCCTCTGGCTCCTGGTCCCACTTGCTCGGGTTACCTCATGTCCCGCTGACTGAAAACGCGGGCCGCAGAGGAGCAGGGGCCGAGGCAGCCAGTCCATGCCCCGGCCACCCTGTGGGTTATCGGGAGAAGCCTCCCGCTGGGGGGGGGCTCGGCCGGAGGATGGGGACCGGCCCTCGGTGCAGAGCGGCGGTGGCTGAGCCTCCCCCCGCCGGACTTTTCGCTGTGTTAAACACTGGCTGGATGGCCAAGCCCAGAGACTCGTGGTGAATGGTGCTAAATCCAATTGGTGGCCGGTCACAAGAAGTGTCCCCCAAGGCTCAGTTCTAGAGCTGGTTTTATTTAATATCTTTATAAATGACCTGGATGAGGGGATTGGGTGTGCCCTCAGTAAATTTGCAGACAACACCAAACTGGGCGGGAGTGTGGATCTGCTGGAGGGGAGGAGGGCTCTGCAGAGGGACCTGGCCAGGCTGGAGCCATGGGCCCAGCCCAACTGGGTGAGGGTCAACAAGGCCAAGGGCCGGGTCCTGCCCTGGGGTCACAACAACCCCAGGCAACGCTCCAGGCGTGGGGCAGAGGGGCTGGC